CTAGCTCTATTAATGTAATTCCTTGCATCTCGCTCATCAAATGTCAATGACTCGTATCCCCCCTCTTCAACAACCATTGAATGATAGTTCCTAGACACCCCAATCCCTGCTTGATCATTGATTTCTAATCTTCTCTTCACAGGAGTACGAATTTTCTTATTCATTGCAAAATGACGAGAGTCGGTGGGAATCAAATCATGATTATGCTCAAGGTTAACTGTGGTTAACATATATGTCCCATTCTTTTGTAGAGTACCTCGCACCCTTGCTTTACAACCAATTTTTGTGGACAAAGATGGCTTCAAAGGGTTCACTTCTGATTTTTTTTTTCTCTCCCCCACTCGAGAACATTCAATTGCAAAGTTTTTTAATTCGCCATCATCTCCAAAATGTTGTGCTCTATGAGCTATAGAAAAGCCAACATGCTTAGCATATGTGGCATAAAATGTGTACACATCTTCCCTTGAGCTAAAACACATACCCTTGTTAGGTTCTTCAACTTGTTCACCCTCATTTACTGAAGGATTGTCACCACCATTTGAATCAACCTCCATTCTATGAGAGTCAAAAATAAAATTCAAATAGAATGATTTTAGAATAATTATGAAACTGTTATGTTGAACTTCACATTGTGTTATTCACCCAAAAAAAAGAACTTCACATTGTGATAATTTCAATTTATGGTATAACTAAATTATAGAAATTTCAATTTCAACCTCAACCTCACATAGTCATGGTATATGTGATTTTGAAACTGTTAACTTCAATTTCAAACTTTGAAACTGTTATGTTCAACTTCAACCTCGCATAGTCATGGTATATCACAGAACACATATTAAACACTGTTAAAAAAAAAATTACAAAATAAAACAATAAATAAATAAAAAAAGAAAAAGAAACATATTTTCAGATTGAGGAATAGCTAAACAGCTATACGCATAGCCATACTTATTTTCAGATTCAGGAATGGCACTCATCAAACTACTTTCAGCAAGACACATATTTTCAGCAAGATAATAATGTCATGACAAGATACATACTTTCAACAAGATAATGTCATGTCTTGTATTTCTTTTAATTGAAACCAATGTCATAAGGATCTTAAGGTTGACCAACTACACTGCTGCAGTGAAATTGTCCATTTTTATAATTGTCTTCCAAGATTTTTTCTATTTACATTACTAAAATTTATTTGTTTTCCCTTCTACCTGTGTGAAGTGGTATACTATCTATGCTTATTTCTTTATTGCCTTGGGCTGTCTCTTCTCAGGTGCTAACATATGGACATTATTATACTACTATTTACTGATTCTCTTTTTCTTTTTTCTCTTTTTATTTACAAGAACACAATTAATTTTCCACTCCTGAAGACACCAAACTGTATATCTAACATCAAGATGGCTAAATATGGAGAGGTTCATAATCTGTCACTCAAATTTATAATTTCATTAGTGAATTTTTTTTTTTAAAACTCTGTTCTAACATAGATATTGGTTAAGATTATTTGCCAATTCCTCTTGTACAATTTTTGGCTTTATCAAGCTTATGCATACTACAGTCTATCTTCTTTGGACCAAACAGTGGTTTAATGATTGCACTGACGACATCAGAGTCTGTTGTTCCCATGCACTATACCAGCTTCCCATGCTTTGTTTCCTATGTTGAGAATTTAAAATGTGAAAACAAACAGAAAATTGTTCGGAAATCATTTTTCAAGAAATCAAAATCATTTTTCAAGAAATCATTGATTCAAGAAATCATTTTTCAAGACCTCTTTTGTATAAAGCCCTGATTCAATAAATCATTTGTACAGTTTTCAAAAGCTCACACCAAGTACAGAACATTGAAGAACCCCCTGTATATAGATCATCTGTACAGAACATTCAATAAATCATTTGTACAGACATTTCAGATTGATCAATGTATGTAGATAGAGAGAGGGGAGAATGAGGGGTTTTCGAATAACATTACCTGACAAGATGTGAAGAACCCCCTTCAAAAGAATGTGATCGAAGATCCGTAGAGTGAGATACAGAGAGTTATGGCCGGAGAGCTATGGCCGTCGACGGAAGAGAGCTATGGTGGACGCACGATGGAAGAGGGAAGAGGGAAGAGAGAAGAGGGAAGACGGACAGGGTCGTCAACCACGTTGTGTAGCTTCCCGCTTTTTTTTTGTCTTTGTTTTCAGTCTCTGTTTTTTTTTTTTGGTCTTACAGGTGCATATATCACACGTTCCTCATTGTGCAAATGTTATTCATATGACTTCAATAGCTGCCACCTCAAAGGGGGTCGTGGGGGTTGGTTTTGAAGGGGGTCCGTATCGGAGCTGAAATTTTAAATCCCTATTTCTTTTAAAATAATGCTTGGGACCCCCTTTTGGGGGTCACCCCCTCACCCCTTTTGCCACGTGACCGGTGGTGATTGGAGGAGCAGGAAAAAAAAAGAAAAAGAAAAAGAAAAAATAACCAATGAGAGAAAGAGGAGGTTAAAGGGGATGGAAAAAAAAGGGGATGAATCATTGTTGCTTCTTTTACGTATTAAATATTTGAATAAATTCACGATGTAAATTTCAATATACATCAAACCACTTTTTAAGTTAATAAAATTTTTAATGCACTTTCCCACAAATACCTATACACTCTGAAGTGATTAGCTAATGCTTCAGGTATTGGTAACTTTTTTGAGTATTGAGATGAGAGAGTGTATTTGGACAAATGGGGGAGTTTGTTAGTTAGTTGACCAATATTTTAAAGCTTGTGAACTTCACAAATTAATTTTTTTTTAATTATTTATAAATTATTCAATCCCTAACCCATTCACTCCAGTCTTCATCTCCTCCAGTGGTGATGACTAACATAATATTTTTTTTTTTCAAGTCCATTTGTCCTAAGGAAGAATGGGAGAGCCGCTCACTCTAGGTGATTTTTGGAGAAATTTCGATGACTTTTCGGCAATTATTTTTCTTCTTTCAAAATGTGGATTAGTCTCCTGAAATATAGATTTACTATTTTCGAATGTAAATTTGGACTTTTGATGTCTGAAATAGGAATTTTGAGAGTTTTCTCTTCTGATTTTGATATAAAATTTTGATATTTTGACACTCACAATGATTCCCTTCTCTCTACACCTTTCTCCCATACCATTGTAGGTGTCCTCACTTCTTCGACGACAATGGCGGTGGCGTTGGGCAGCAACGATAGGGACGTTGTTGACAAGGACAGCGGGCTTTCTTCCAGACCACATCTTTGAAAAGATCAGTGGTTTTCCTTGGATTGTAACTATTTTTTTGACGGATTTATTTTGTTGTTGTTGTTGTTTATTTTCTTTTGTTGTTTGGTTGGGATGACCCTTTGGGTCTTTTTTCTGTACTCTAATGCTTTATCAAAATATTATTCCCATGTCCTAAAAAAAACGTAATATTTTTTTGATTTTTGGGTGCTAAAATAAAATGATATGAATTTTTATGGAGCAAAACTGCCAATGTCTATTCTAAGTACTCCAAATTAGCACGGGAGAGTTAAAAAAAATAAAAATTAAAAATTAAAAATTAAAAAAATTAGCATGGGCCAAATGAGATTTTTGTGAAATTTGGGAGCCCAAGGTAAAGCAATATGAATTTTCAAGGAGCTAAGGTTAAATTATATAGATTTTTAAAGGGCTAAAGTAAAACCATATAAATTGTGCAAGTGCTAAAATGTTATATTTTAGGGTAAATTACAAATATATTTCTTGAGATTTACTTAAAATACGAATTATCCTATGTGATTTGAAAAATTACAAATATCTTCCTGTCAAAATTTTTTATTTAACAGAATTAATTTAAAAAATAAAATTTCTAATTAACACCCATATAATAACAAAATTATCTGAATTATTAATTAAAATAAAATTTTAACATCATTAAAACTATTAATTAACTTGATGATTTATTAATAAAAAGACCTATTTGTTATGAAATTAAAAACCTTCGCAGACATAATATAATTTTTAAAATTACATAAAATAATTTATAATTTAAATAAATCTTAGAAGATATGTTTGTAATTTATCCTATGTTTTATCAAATAACTGTTAAACTAGTATGGTCTAAATTGTACTTTTGTGAAGATTGGGGAGGTGGCCGATACAAACCATCAAGGATCCTCTAGAGTGAAATTTTTCTAAAGTTTCCTAGAGTGCTACATTGTGTGGTTGAGATTTATTGGCAAGTCACATCAGAAAAATTAATGTGACTTGCCAGTAAATCTCAACCACACAATGTAACACTCTAGAAAATTTTAAAAAAAAATTACTCTAGAGGATCCTTGCTCAATACAAACCCCAGTTTGTCCGCTAATGATCTACTTTGTCCCTGACCATCACCTTCCTCCTTTGTCGCTGACCATCACCTCCGATTGCCACTGTCGCCCCATTTTGCACTCTCAATGGCTACTCAGGCTTTTTTGAGAAATTAAACTTTTTAGTTTATTAGCTATTAATTAGTCTAATTAAAAAGACTGTATTTGAAAATTTTATTAATTTTTTTTTATAATTGATTTAATAATTTATAAAAAAAAATAATAATTATAATTTGAATGTAATATTTTATCTTATTCACTATTTTATCTTTATTAACTATTTTATTATCTAACCTTCCAAAACTCCTCCTCAATCCCTTTTGCCGACACTTTCCTTTCTTCCCTATCACCCTTAACACCCTCCCATCTCCTGTTAAAAAAAAAAATTTCCCTTCAGAACTAAGATTTTGAAAAAGTAAGGATGGAAAAGAAGGTAATTGGCAGCTGGATTGAGAGGAGAGGAGAGGAATGGGGAGAGAGGTCAGGGGAGGGAATGACTATGAGATAAGAAGAGAGCCAAGAATAGTAAGAGGTGGTTGAGATATGATACGCTTGGATTTTTTTATTTGTTTTTATGTAATTTTATCCTTAACAATTTTCTAAAAATAGAACAAAAATAACACTGCTTATAAAAAAATAAATATTATAATAATTACATTTATATATTATGAATTATTCACATCTAATGTGTGATGATTGTATTTATTTAAAGAATTCACTATCATAAAATCACTAATGATACACAAATATGATAATTTATAACATTATTACTCACAAATATATCTAATCTCTAGAAAGAGAAAGAGGGGAGGAGAGAGAAACTTTGGCCATATACCATTCAACCCAAGCATGATCATTTCAAGGCAACACATGACCCAATCTCTTACACTCCATCAATGACTTTTGTTTCCCACCCTGACAAAAGAAGAACCTTAACGGACACCGGTACAAACAATTGTCCCCCAACCGAACCGTAACCGAACCCGGATCCCTCATCTTGAGCAGCTGAACCGGTATGGCTCCGAATAAGTAATTCCCACCCAACAACAGCCGCTCCAACTGCGAAACCCCCTGACCCGGTAGCACCGCCTTCAGGGTCAACTGGGTTGGTATCACATCCGAGAACCGGTTGTTCTCTAGCGATAGAGCGGATAGTTTCCGCATCCGACCCATGAACGGCGGTATGAACCCGCGGATCATGTTGCTGCTCAGGTCCACTGCTATGAGCTCGCTTTCTTGACTCGAATCCCCGGGTTCTTGAACCGACTCGAAATCGTTGTACGAAAGGGTGAGTTGTTGGAGAGACGGGTGGGTAAAAAGACCCGACGGGATCGACCCTGTTATATTGTTGTGGCTCAGATCAATTACTTGTAAATAGAACAAGTTCGATATATTCGCCGGAATATTCCCTTTTAACTGGTTGTTTCGCATGGAGAGTTCGACGAGAGAGGTCGGAAGATTCGCTGGAAGTTCGCCGGAGATGGAATTGTCGCTTGCGTCTAAGAAGGAGAGGTTAGTGAGTTGACTCAGATCGGGAAACTGGCCTCTGAGTCTGTTGCCTTGGAGTTCGAGCCTTTTTAAATTCTTAAGACCGTTGATACTCAACGGGATTGTTCCCTGGAAGTAGTTGTTGTCCAGGTAAAGCTCTTCGAGGGTAGAGAGAGAGCCGATTGAGTTTGGTACTGAGCCAGAGAGGGAGTTACGTGATAGACTGAGTCTTTGGAGCCGAGTCAGGTTCGAGAGCGAGTCAGGAATTGAACCCGCAAAGAAATTGTTGGAGAGGTCAAGGGTGTGGAGGTAGGGGAGGAGGTTCCAGGAGGTGGAAGCGAGTGAACCCACGTAACCCGCCTGGTCGAGAGCGAGTTCGGTGACTCGACTCATCGTTGAAATAACGAGGTCGCATCGAAACCCACATGTGAATTTGTCGCTGAAGAGGTTGTCGCATGGATCGAGAGTGAAGTCCCATGAGCTCAGACACGAACCGGGCCTGACTGAGTTAGGATCGAGTCCGTTCTTGAACTCTCTCAATGCCTCCGTGTCTTGCCAAAAAGTGATGGAATTGGCTTCGAAGAAGGAGTCTGTAACAGTGATTAAGAGAATGAGAGAGAAACAGAGAGTAGTACCCATTTGTCAAGTTTGCTGTAAGGTGATCTCAGGCGTAAATTTGAAGAGAACAGAGATAGAGAGAGCTCTCAAACCAATCAAATCAGAGACAGAGAGAGCACAATTAAATCAGCACTGTACCTTTCGACATGGGTTGCTCAGAATAAAGGTGAATCGAGTGGATGAAGAGAAGAACAGTGAGTGAGAGAGAGAGAGAGAGGTGATTGTCTTTCGTCTTTTACCTCTTTCTGTTTGAGAGATCTTTTGGTGAGTGAGTGGTTTGGTTTCGTGGTGGGCAACCGTTGGAACCCCCTGTATTTAAATTTGTAATGTATTGGTGTCATTTCATCATTTCGTATCTTACTATATTTTAGTGCAAAATATGTGTCATCTCTTCTGATCAACAAAATATGTGTCATCTCTTTATTGTTAAAAAGTGGTAAAAAAATATATAAAAAATTGGTAAAGGAGCACAACAATGGGCAACCGTTGGAACCCCCTGTATTTAAATTTGTAATGTATTGGTGTCATTTCATCATTTCGTATCTTACTATATTTTAGTGCAAAATATGTGTCATCTCTTCTGATCAACAAAATATGTGTCATCTCTTTATTGTTAAAAAGTGGTAAAAAAATATAAAAAAATATATATAAAAAAAAATTGGTAAAGGAGCACAACAAATTTGGAAAAAAAATAAATTAAATTAAAAAAAATGGTATATATACACAAGGGGGATGTCAGTACGTGTTTTGGAAAAAAAAAAAAATCAAATTAATGATAAATTTTATAGATTTTAGTTATTAATTTCATAAACTTTTCATGTGTTAGTAATTATTTTTTGTAAAGTACAATTGATTTGTATTTTTCTCTACATATAAAGGGCTTTCTTATTTATTTTTTTAAAAAAATTAAATATACAAAGTAATCAACTTGTTTGATTTGGATTTTCAGAATTCATTTTTCAGAAAATTTTTTTTTTTCGTGTTTTTTTTTTCACTAATTTTTTTTAATATTCTAAGCAATTTTTTAATTTTTAGATACACTTAATATAAATACACTCAAAAAGTATAATATTTGTGATTTTTTTTAAAAAAATTCACTAAATATAAAAAAATACAAAAGAGAAATATGAGAATTCAGTACATTTTTTGTATTCTTGTATATTTATTAATTTTTTAAAATATTTGTTTAACAATATTTTACTTTTTAGATATGTGCATCTAAAAAAGTAAAAAAATTGTTTCAAATTTTAAAAATATTCACTAAAAATAAAAAAATATAAAAAACAAAAAACTTAATTTAAAAAAAATTAAATTCAGAATTGAAACCAAACACACGAAATAAGTTCATGAGTCAACTCCGTTGATAGAGCAATAAAGATTTCAAGACAAGATTGATTTGCCCGGTCATTAACTTTGGTTTCGACATTAGTCAATCTATATAATAAGGAAGAGTGATTTTTGAATGTTGATGGGACTATTGTCCCTTTGTCACAATGTGAACCGTTAGATTGACTCAATCCAACGGTTAAAAAATGTCAAAGAGGCAAATACATTTTCAATGGTGGATTTACAATGGTGATTCAATCCTACGGTGTTCAAGAGACAAATACATTTTCTCATTAGGTTTCTTCTTCCCTTCCGTCCATCTCTCTCTCTCTCTCTCTCTCTCTCTCTCTCATTTAAAATTTAAAATTGAGTTGTCTCTCTCATCTCTCACTCTCAGAGCTCACTCTTCATCTTCAATCTCCCCCGAAAACATAGTAGATCAGCGACTTCGCAGGGGTGCTAATCGGCGACTTCGCATTGGAGAGTTTGTTGGGTGCTAATCGGCGACATCGCGGGGTCCAAATCGGCGATATCGCGGCAACAAATCGGTGAGGTTCTCCAAAATCTTTTGTTTGAGGTTCTCCAGAATCTGTAATCGGTGAGGTTCTCCAGCCCTTTGTTTTCAATGAAACCAACCTTGAGTCAGTTTTTCTCTCTTATTATAGGTGACTAGCAGCCAGATTTTTTTTGTTTTTTTTTTCTTTGAAGCCACAGAGATCAAACTGTGAGTATTGTTTTGTTGATTTAACTGTGAGATTAAACTGTGAGTATTGTTTTCATTAAATTTCATAATTCTAATATTTATAATTTTTTATACCTGGCATGTTATAGGGAAAACAATTTTGTGAGTTAAAATCTCTGAATAAAATTCTATTTTCCTGTATATTGGCCTAATATGCCTAGCCAAGAAAAAAAAATGTATATGTAAATTTTGGAGAAACTGCCTTTAGTTGGTTAGCTTACTCATAGGTGTACATTAATTTGAGCATTTTGAATAATCAATGATATACTGATGACGTACATTCCATAATGATAGATCAAATTCCCATGTGAGTTTAATTCTTAAATCATCCCACAATTCTCCATTTCACAGTTTCATGTTAATTTATATCAAATCCTTGATTCATTAAATTCAATCTGTGCCAATATTCTTAGTCTTACTAATTTGTGAATTAGAATATATTTATGAAATTCTATTTTCCTGTGTATTGATCTAATATATTACCAGCTGATTTTGTTGGAAATGGTGGAAAAAATTCTGGGTAAAACTAGAATTTTTCCTCAAGTTTGGTCTATTTTTTAGGTGGGCCCCGAGCGTCGATTTACTCGGGTCAAAGTGGTAACGCGTTCTATGCCGCGTTGTGATTCACATGGTATATTTGGTTGCTCAAAACCATTACCGAGTGAATGGGAAATTGAAGCCAAAGTGTGCTCCATGGAAATGGAGTTTTGGTGGAAATTCCTTAAAGTTGTAAATTGGCTTGTCCCACATTGATTTAGTGGGAAGTTTTGAAAGGGTTTATAAGGCTTGGGTGAGATACTTGGGGTGTGCCCCAAGGGGTACCCAAGTGTTTTAGAGGGAGAGGTTATGGACAAAATGGGCTAGACCCATTGGACCCAAAAATCACCACACGCCGCCGCCGTCCGGGCGGGCTGGGCTTGGGCGCGGGTGCGTGGTGTGTGGTTGGGTTGGGCTTCTAATCTTTTTGGGCCAAAAACATTTGAATTTAATTTTATTTTTTGGTAAAATAAAATCCAAAATTCAGATTAAACTGATTTGGATTTTCTATACATCCAAACAGGGCCCTTCCCGTTTTTAAACAGAAATAAACTAGTTTGGAATTAATGCACACCCAAACAGGGCCCTTCCCGTAATAAACCAGTCTGGTATTATTGCACACCCAAACAGGGCCCTTCCGAACAAATTAAATCAAGTAAGTTATTTAATTTATTTTCAGTATTGTTTTTATTTATTAAAATCAGATTTAAATTTTGTTTTTGTAACAAAATAAAATCTGTTTTTATTTATTTATTTTTATTTCGAGTTTGATTTTTGTAATCAAACAAATTCTCTCCTTTTCTTTATTTCTTTAAATTCTAATTGTTGTTGTGTACACAATAGAATTAAATTTTTTAAATACAGTGAAGTTTGGCCAACAGATTTTGCCCAGCCAAGAGGAAAAATATGTATACATACATTTTGAAATTGTTGAATTCAGTTGGCTAGCTTACTCATAGTTCATAGGTGTACATTAATTTGAACATTAGTGGAGTAGAGAAAGAACGATTCCCAAAATCAAACTGTGAGTATTGTTTTGTTGATTTTTCTTATACAGATAATATATACACACGAAACCATTCTATATTGTATTGATTTTTCTTTAGTTACTCTATTGAATTTATACTCTATCAGCCACATTGTATTGTTTAGTTACAGATAATATGTACTCTATCAGCCAGATAGTATTGTTTTGTGCAACTATTGTATTGAGTGGTTGTTGTGCCATTGACCATTCTATTGAGTTACCCATTAACCATTCTATATTCCTTGCTTATTAAGTGTTTGATAAAATGTTTCAATGGAATTTACACACAACAAATCCAGTTGATGGTATCCTCTCTCATATATAGATTTTTCGGTTTGATTTTGTGGAGAAATGGGAATCATCCCAATAATTTTTTAACTTGCTTTTGGATAATGGGAATCATCCAACTACCAATATTATTCTTCTCTTGATTTCTACTTCTGGGTCTGTGTTCTGTTATTTTTTTGCGATTTTTCTATGTGGCTTTTCTGAGTTTAGGCTTAAGTTGCAATGATGTTATGCATATTTTTTCTTTGTTAGGAATAGACATCATTTCTTTACTTGCATTTAGCTGAAACTTTCAGAATCACTTTTCATGACACATAAGCATTCAGTTTTGCTATAGAATTGTTGGTTATCTTCTTCAACATTACCTTTGGTCAGATAACTAATTGCAAATTTTGCTAGAAAGTTGTGGCGGTTGTCTTTGATGGTCAAATTTTAGATGTTCTGTAAAATGCCTCAATTAAAATAGTTTATTTTCTTATATAATTATACTTTTTTGTTGTTCAAATAGTGAGTGAATCTATCAAGCCAAGTAAATGACTAAACAACCTTTCCTACAGAGAGTTTGATTAACCATGTTTGAATGCACTTAGTGCTGGTAATGTGAATGTCCTAATTGATCAAAGTTATCTTATAGTTTATTCTACATTCTCCCCCTCTCCCCAACACACACACACACAACAACAACAACAACAACAACAACAACAAAAAAAATTAGTGAGTGAATCCATCATAGTTTATTCTACATTCCCCCCAAATAGTGAATGATACATGCCTTGGATATTTGGTAAGGTTAACAAAAATATAGGTATATTCAAATTGGTGAATCAATCAATGGGAGTTGGATCTTATTTTTAATAATAAACAGTGGGCAATTTTTAGGGAGTTGATTTTAGATAATGGATAGTGGATAATGGAGCTTGCTTGCTTATATTTTTTATTCTTCCTTTTACTTCAAGTACATATGCCTTGGCTTGAAGGTGTGTTTGATTAGCTCATAAAAAGTTGTTATGGCTTTGTTTGCTACAATGGTTGATTAGGTGATTGGTCTGCCTTCAATTGATGGATTTATCAATAATTTGTTGCTTATCTATTGTGTAACTTGGCTTCATTTTTACTAGCTAGGCTTCATTTTATATGTTGGCTATCTTCTGGATTATTAGCTACATGCAGTTTATGTTTTTTGTTCAGAGACGGTAGAGAAGCAAGAACTAAGAAGAGCGAATACTTGATTTTTTTATGCTAATAATTTGGGTCTTCTATTTTAATTTTTAAATTTCATTCTATTTTGATAATAATCATTGTGATAATTTTTACTATAATTTTAAAAATTAGCATTGTTTAGAATGCCTTTATGTTTGATTTTATTGTTTTTCAAAATAAGATGTTTTAGTTTGTTTTGATTAGACTTGAA